TTACATAACAGCCTGGACTGCAGGGAACACCTATACAAGAGGCCATGACAGTTAAACAATGGGCAGGCAGAGGCTGCCCTGAGAAAATGGAGTCATTCATGGGCTGTGTGAGAGGCGGCTCTGTTCCCGACTTGGCTCCCTGGTAAATGAAGTACGCTGTGGACAAAGAGGGAAACTTTACACTCTAGCAATTTTCCCACAGTGGCAGGCTCACAGAAAAACAAGGCACTAGCTGGCTTGGAGGAGAAAAGGCAACCATATCCATAAACTTTACTTTCTCCCCCAAGTTGTTGTCTTGTGCCAAAACCACAGACTAATCTCCCAGAGAGGGAGCGGCGGGTGAGGCTGCACTTGATTGGCCTCTGCCTCCTGCTGCTGTCTGTTTTCATCGCTGTTTGCCGGGCTTTGCTTCCTGAATCATCATGTATTTGACCTTAGAGTTACCTCCCCGCTTTGATAGGAATGTTGTCAGTGGAGATGATCGGTCCGAGAGAAGTAATGATGTCTTCCCCCAAACAGATGCTCTCCAGAATCCAGGAGCGTCTTTCTAGACACAGGCAGCTGGGGCAGGAAAATCCAGAGAATGCACAAATGCCCTGTACTTGAGTCTCTGCACTGATGCTGTAGATTTAGTGCGGCCTTCGCTTACCAACGGTGGCATGCTTGCTGTTTAATCAAACCATTGTATATGTCTTATGGTGCATGTTTCTTTTCAAACTAAATGGCATGCCAAGAAAATAATAAAATCATAACAAAGAACCTTCTATATTAGAACCAACTTCCAAGCACCACCCCTGAGTCAGCTATCTAGAAAGATGCATAGCTTTTGTCCAATGTATCCACATGGAGAGACTTGGAGTCTGCTCCAGAGCTTCTGTCCTGTGGTTTTATTATTGCCACTGAGGTTTCTACTTCAGTCCTTAGGTGCAGAATGGATGCCGAGGTAGGGTATGTTACAATTCAGTGAAATGTAAAGATCCCTCCTTCCCCATCCTGGAACCCTGTTTCCTACCTAGCCCCAGGGGAATTCATGGGGTGAGTAGGCTAGAGAATCAGTTGACATAAAATAATTCCTGAATGAGGGCTGGTGAGATGGCTGGGTGGGTAGAAGCCCTCAACGCATGAGCCTGGGGACCTGAGTTCCATCCCCAGAACCTACATGAAGGTTGAAGGAGAGGATCATCTCACAGGTTGTACTCTAACCTCCATTGCAGGCGCTTGCTGCTTGCCCCTCCCCCACCACGTGCTCACACAATCTCTCTCTCCCACACACACACACACTAATGATTTTGATTTTTTAAATTACTTCAACAATACGGGCTCTCTGGTGGGCTCCAGCCTGAGAAAACAGGTACATGTAACACAGACCTGATTTGACAGCTCAGTCTCACACAGGGAGAGCCAATCCCTCTGGACTGGAAGCCAACAGCACTAATAGATGCTCCGTGTCCCTGATGAAGGAAGTGGCTTAAACTCTAGAGTCCAACTCGTGGGCTTGGATCCTAATTTTAAAGACCACGCTTTGTGTGACCTCAAGGAAGATACCTTTCTTGTGTTGCCTTGACTGTATCCATTGTACCATCATAAGCTTTAGGAAGACGGGCAGGGCGGGGCAGGTGAAAACACCTAGGATAGCTGAAGGAAGGAGGCTGCTTGGAAACTCCTTTCTCAGTCCCAGAGGACCTGCTTAAACTACAGATCACTCTCATGGGACAACGGACAAGTGGCAGTGTTATGTTGTTTTTGGGTTTTGAGTACAATTCCCATTGATTGTGAAGCCTGGGAAGTGGCTCAACATCTTTTCACACGTAGAAACTTGGGAATGAGCATCCAAAACTATCCATGTTACCACTTAATCTGCAACTGACTTTAGCTGCGTTGTTTAAAGGGAAGCCTTTGACATTCTTCAGCATGGCTCCGATCAGCTGAAGTTGTGGGGATTCACCTAGGCAGAGAGAGTGGAGCCTGAGGGGCGTGGCCCTGAAGAGCACCGGCATGTCTGATTATTGCACTCTGCACACACCTGCACTATTAGGACGTGGGCTGACGAAGGCGGAGGGGACAGGCACTAGGGTGGCTCTCCACAGTGTTCCTAATGAGCGTGAAACACCATTTTTCCTCAGTAGAGATATCTGTGGTTTAAAACAGTCACTGGCATTTTAATCCTTCAAGGAGAACGGCAAAGCAAAAAGACCTGTGAGTAATTCCTCCCAGGTTTTTTACGTCAGTAGCCTCTATAATTGCCTTGTTTTTCTAATTCTTCGAGCACTTAAGTTTGTGCTTATATAACTATTTTTCTTCTCCCTTCTGACCTTTGACACTGGTATTTGTTGGGAAAGCTATTTTTCCCTCAGTTAATCTAGACACTCATTGACCAGCTCATTGAGCAGGTTGGTCAGAAGAGCCTCCGCTGTGATGCTAACGGCCACCATCACTGCCTTGCTGCCATGTGCTTGGAACTTTGCATCATGCTTTCTCACTGGAAGTCTATGAAGGAGGTGCTGTTAGCACTCCTATCTTGTGGACAAAAGAAATAATAATAAAAATAAAATGTGGCTTTGAAAGAGTAACAGCTTGGAATGTCAGAACTGGGATCTGAGTGACTTAACTCTAGAATCCCTACTCTTGGCTGTTTCATGCCACTGTTGTTATAAAGTGCTTCTGAGGCAAAACTGTACAAGAGCTGCTTTGCAACACACAGGCTACCAGGGCCTGCATAAGCTCATCTTTTACTTCCCGCCTGCCGAGCATCGTGAGGTGCAGTGAGGAGCAGTTTCCTTGAGGAGAGCATCAGGATCTGAGGCGGGGACTCCAGTTTAGAAGCAGCCATGGGGGTAGGGGCTCCTCCACAGCATCTCAGCGTGCCAGACAGTACTTAAATAAAGTAGTTCCCGGGCTGTGTCTCTCAGTGCTGTACCCCCACACACGTCTGCTTACGTGGACTTAGGAACCGGTTAAATCATCTACAAGTTAGGACCTAGAGAAGAAAACTTCTTTGGTTTCAACTTGTTCAAAATGCCTAGACTCAGGACATGATCTTCCTGGCTATCTTCCGAGGAGGGGTTTTTGCCTCAGTTGCTAGATCTGGCACTTTGGCCATCCATGAAGAAAGAGAATGAGCTGAACAGCTGTGAAGGGGGCTTGGCTTGTGAGAGTCCCTCACTTCCTGTGGTAATGAGAGAGTGAGGACCAAGATTAGAGACTGAGTCTAACAATGCAAGTTCCTTGCTACTGGGGTATTCTCAGGAAAGAACAAGTGAAGGATGGGTACAGTCAGCCATTAACCAGCATCATAATGGGACCCCTTGGAAGCCTGTGCATTACAGATAATGTAGAAAACAAAGGCAGTCCTTGTAGAGCAAGGTTCAAGCTACAGCACAAGCTCATATGGCTTCCAATACAGGTTATATCCAACTCCAAAGTTCAAGCCCCCATACTGCAGATTTCAGCACTCATGCTGGGCTATGGACATCCGTGCCAATCAGGTATGAGTGTCTAAGTCCTAAATGGACACCAGCACTAGTGGACCTGGGAGCTCATTTCAGACGCGATAACAAGGCTAATGGAAATGCTGAATTTAGGGGCTAAGAGGGTGCCTTAGCCGTTAAAATTCTTGCCATGCAAGCATGAGGATTGGACTTTGGATCCCTGGAACCCACATAAACTCAGGGTAAGGTAGCCCACTTGTTATTCCAGTGACCAGAAATTGAAGCTTGGGGTGCTCTGGAGCAAGATGACTAGTCAGACAAGCTAAATGTGTGAGCTCTGGGTTCAATTGCAAGACCTTGTCTCAATGTATAGAGTCGAGAGATAGAGGAAGACAGTGGACTTCACACATATGCAAAAACAAACATACATCTGCACACATGAATACATACACATGAAGAATGTGGGCGGAGCTGATATTTAATTTCCAGTATGGCTGCTGCAAGAATCCAGAGTATTCCTAGCCTTGTGATGCAGAGAGAAACCAGCACATTTAACCAAGTCATGGACATGCTGGAAGAAAAGCTCTTCTGACCCCATTTAGGTGCCTTGGGCTGTGGGACAGATCTAGGATCCCTAAATAGAAATAAGTATTGGTTATCAGAACAGCTCGGTCAGGCCCTTACCAGCCAGGAGGTCATCTGGGGCTCCAGGAGTTACTCATTCAGCCCCAGCGTCTAAACAGCCAAAGTGAATTATTCACTTAGGAGGCTGAAAAACAACCATCTCCCCTGGATTGTGAAATGGAGTTTTCCAAAGTAAAATGTCTTAGTCACTTGGAATCTGACCAAAGTCAACTCTTGGCCCTGACCCACCCATGTGTGTGTGTGTGCTGGAAGACAGCAGAGACAGGGAAACCCCAAAACAAATATGCAAGTGGCTTGTCAGTCACAGGATGTTCAAGGCTCCCACGGGGCAGGTGCACTCCAGGTGGGGCCGGGTTTGGAGAAGCTGAGGTGATGAGCAGGCCACAGAAGGGCCGTCAGCAGCATCTGTTTCGTCCCAGGCAGGCCTGAGTGGGTTTGTGGCTTACATAACAGCTTGGCAGGCAGATGCAGCCAGGCGGAAGCACACGGCTTTCTAGCAGCCTATAATCATCTTTGATTTCTCTGTTTGCTCAGCAGCTTTCATGTGCTGGGGGAGGCAGCTGTGCAGAAAGGGGGCGGAGCAGGATTCCAGCACAGTGCAGTGTTCTGTCTCCTCTAGCAGAACAAACAGTCAGGGAGTCAGGAACTGCCACGCAGGCTTGGCAGCCTAGGTGCAGAGCTGTCCTGAAGCCTGGTCCAGGCCCGAGGGCAGAGATTAGTGCGCAGGTGAGCGGGAGAGCTGCCAGAAATGTGAACTGGGGAAGGGGTGTCCCTAACGCTGTGGGCCATCTTGTCTGTGGTAACAGTGGTGTTCCCCTCTGAAATACAGAAATCACTAAGGTCAACATCGTGTCCATCACAAAAGGCAGCTTGGGGAGGGCCTGTGTCTTACTAAATGCCTCCCTATATGCCTTCTCTTCTATGCAGATACCAGGTCGATCATTCTGGTTCCTGGGCACGGAGTGAGAAGAAATTCAGACAGCGACTAGTCACCTGACTAGAAACACAGATTTGTATCTTTTCTTTGTCCTGATTAGATTCTAGTTGACTAGCAGCTGGTTCCTGTTCAGATGACTCCTGTTCTCCATTTCCTAGCGTTCCCAAACTCCGTATGGTCCTACAGCTCAAGTTCCCAAACTCCGTATGGTCCTACAGCTCAGATCTCTCATGTGCTCACTCCATTTGCCTGACTCTTGCAGACATGTTTAGGATGAAGTCCCTGCTCCATCCTAGCGGTACCCAGCTGAGATAATGATCCACTTACCTGGGTGAGTCAGTAGAGTCTAGGTAGTAATTATGGAAAAGGAAGGTGATATGTCAATAGGAACTATAACGTCTTTGAATGGGTGCTCGGATTGGTCACTTGTTTATTCATTCAACGATTTCCTCCAGAGGGCTCACCTTGGATGTCAGCCTAGTGGCGGTGATTTTGTCAAGAATACAGTTCTGGTCATGGGGCTTCCAGCACCTGGTACTCAGCTCTTATGTTCTTCTATATGTGTTACAGTTAATGAGTAATTGTGCACGTGAACTGTTGATCTTGGCAGGGTGGTGCTGTTACCAAATGCTCACACACCCTTGTCTGTTTACTGACAGGACACACTTTGTTTTGCAAGTGATTTGTGTGACCTTGTATAATGTGCGCAGATGTTCCTGAGTGTTCTGATTATGTTCTAACCCCCAGGCTGAAGCTCAGCTCCTTGACCACGCCGTGCCTCATAGATGACCTCTCTGCATTTGCCTCATTCCTTGAACCTTATTTGTCCTGTCCCCAAGCCATGCTCTTGGCCTTGTCCCTTCACTCTGCTTCATTCGCACTCTTCTGGCCAGCTACTCACACCTTCCTGGGAGTCTTCCTGACCCTGCTAGGTGTGGCCAGGGGCCTCACTCCTCTCTTCTACTTCCCATACAAATCTTTTATTAGTCTATCTTAACCACTGTGCTCAAGTCCCTGGAACAGACAGGGACTGGTCTTTCATTACTGTGTTCTTGGGGCCAAGCATGTAACAGGATCCGAGAGAGAGAGACAGAGACAGAGACAGAGAGAGGGAGAGACAGAGAGAGAGACAGAGAGAGAGAGAGAGAGAGACAGAGACAGAGACAGAGATAGGAGAGAGGAAAGAGAGAGAGATTGCCATGTTTATAATTGAAGCCCTAGCTGAGCCCAGGACCTGTGAAAACTCACCTCCATCTTCCACACACCCGGAAGAGCCCAGACTGCTGGCCCAGGCTCCCACCAAATCTTTTTTCAATAGGGTCTAGCTTTCTATTGACATATCATGTTCTGTCCCCACTCTAGTTACTACCCATACTCCATTTTCTCAAACTTTCACTGTTTGAATACATGCAAAGTCTTCTGCATCTCAAATGAAAGCAATGCCATCTGTTCATGATGTGGAAATTCCAGAAGACTTCAGAAAACCAAGCAGGTTTTCCTGCAGAGCAGCCCAGACACACCTCCATGGCACTCTGCTTGGGAGACAGAAGTGGTTAGGAATGGGCCAAGGGGTGTATAGTCATCTGTGAATTTGTTTATAATATTTGATTTCAGAAATTCTAACTGAGCTCTGCCTTCTACCCTTCTTCAATCACACACATGGTAGCCACAGTCTCTAGAAAGTCATGGTTTAATCCATTGTCCCAAATACCCACCAACACTGTGCCGCCTATTATACCTGTTGACAAGCACTTGGGGTTCATACAGATCACTAAGAAACAAAGTTCACCATGAAGATTAGGCAGAGAGGAACTTAAGCTCAAACCTCGGGAACCATGGGGGAACCCAAGGCAGTAGCAAGAACAAGCCCAAGACAATGCTCGTGCATAACGAAGGTGGGCATTTAGTCTGTTCACAAGCAAAAGCAGCCGGGGCTCTGCATTATTTGCCAGATGTGCTCTTAGGGTTTTGTCAACTTGACATAAACCTAGATATATCTGGGAAGAGGGAAACTTAATTGAGAGAATGCTTCCATAGGAGTCACCTGCGGGGGGTTGTATTGATTAATGACTGGTGTGGGAGGGCCTAGCCCACTGTGGGTGGCGCCACCCCTGGGCAGGTGGTGTTGGATGGCTGAGCAAGCCAGGAGCAGCAAGTCAGTCAACAGCACTCCTCCAGGGCTACCCCCCAGTTCTTAAGTCCAGGTTGCTGCACTAAGCTCCTGCTGTGGCTTGCCTCAATGACACTTATAAGCTGTAAAGTGAAATAAAGTGTTTCCTCCCAAATAAAATGTTGCCTTGGTCATGTGTTTTGTCACAGCAATAGAAACCCTAAGACACAAGGTAAAGTTCAGGTGCTTCACAATGGCATTCCAGGCCTCTGTGATCCAGGTCTTGGCTCCAAGGTGCATCCCCTGTGTCTCTCTTAACGTTCTAGTCATGGGCATCCACTTGCTGTCCAGATGAATCACTATCTGTTCTCTTTCTCTGGGAGGCCCTGTCCCAGGCAGAATTCTCCAAGACTGGCAAAGCTTTACAGATTCGCATTTGTTTCCTATCTTGAGTACACCCCACTGCTAGCTACCATCTTCACTTCTAGACTGTGAGTTTCCTGCACACAAAGGTTGGCTTTCCACTCTAGCAAAACACAAGGAACCTATTGCATAACCAATACGCATTGCACATTAAAATTGCTCTACAGATACTGCTGCAATCGTGAAAGTCTTTGTGTAGGATGTGAGAAAATCCTGGAAAATAAGTTTTACAATACTTGATGGAGAAAAGAAAAAGGATGCTCAAACTAAAATAATATATGCAGATTTATAGAAAGGGGCTTGACAAACATTGATAGTTCAATCAATTCTGTGTGTGTGTGTGTGAGAGAGAGAGAGAGAGAGATGGAGAGAGAAGAGAGAGAAAGAGAGGGAGAGAAGAGAGAGAGAGAGAGAGGGAGGGAGAGAGAGGGGGAGATGGGGAGAGTGTAAGGGAATATGTGTGTCACAGCATATGTACGGAGATCACAGGACTACTTGGGGGAACTGAGTCTCTACTCTTACATGGACTAAATTCAGCTAGGCAGGCATTGTCATAAGCACCTTTACCCCCTAAGCCATCTCACTAGCCCAATTTCACCAATACTGACAATGTTACTTACTTTCTGTATTCCAATACTTTCATCTTTGTTTACTCAAGAATGTTCTTCTAGGCTTTATTCATAGTAGCTTCAAAACAGAAACAACCAAATGTCAATCAACAAGATAACTGATAAGTAAATTATGGAGCATTATAACCAAGGAATATTACTCAGCAACAAAAAGGAAAAAACTGATAATACAAGCAGTAACATAGATAAATATCTAAAACATATTGAGTTTTTAAATGTGAATAAGACTGAGCTTTTTGATAAGATGAACTGGTACAATTAGTAATGAGTGCTGAGTAGTGGGTATAGAAAGAGGGCGTTCTCTGCACTGTTGATGGGAGGCAGACAGCATGAGAGAAAGGTATGGAGGTCACCAAACTAACTTTAAAAAAGAGCAGATAACGAGCAGAGCACACCTCAACTCTGGTACATGTATGTATGCATGCGTGCATATATACATACATATATGCATACATACATACATACATACTTCCATGTCCAAAGAAATGAAACATTGAAAAGATGGCTGCACTCCACGTTCACTGTAGCATTATTCACAACAGACAAAACATGAAACAACCAGTCTCCTTCAGTGAAGAAGGATATTAAGAAATTATATAATTTTTACATGTACACAATTATACGTAGCAACATAGAGATATCATGCGACCTTAAAGCAGGAGATCCTGCCATTTTCAGCGTCACAGACAAACCTTGAGTACAATGTGCTAAGTGAAACAAGCTACACAAGAAAGGGAAAATGTCACATGTTCTCCACTAAATGTGTAGTCATTTAAAAACAGCTTGGGGGAGGGAGGGAAATAGATGTAGGTTAAAGGTTTCAAAGTTTATAAGCTATCATATGCACAAAGTAAAAAAAAAACAAACAAAAAAAGAAATAGTTCTGAGTACAGTGAGGATTGTAGCTAATAATAATTGATTAAATATTTTGTTAAAGGAGTAGATTGTAGGTACACACACACACACACTCTACTACAAAGCTTGTATTATAGCTCAGTTTCACTTGTATACCACAAATGGGACGACCTACACTTGTTTTCATTGAAGTTATTGACCTGCTTCAAGGACTCGTCAATGCCAGGACTGCATGAGCGCTCTAAACACTTAACCAGGTGATTTGGATTGGGCTGGAATTTGGGTAGCAGTACTTTGAAACATTCGAACATTATTTGCCTTGCCTGGTGATAAGTGCTTGGTGATAAATGCTTGGCAAAGGGGGCAGAACTCAAGGTTCCTTTATCTCAGAGTCCAGTCACCAGGGTCTGTAGAACGGCATGCTCTGAAGTAGATCCCCAACCCACAGCAGCTTTGGGCTGGAAATGAGATATTGACTCCAGGTCAAAGGGCAGAAGGGCCTGCAGATGGGGGAGAGGGAGGCTGGACACATCTGTTGGTTTCTCACTTGCCAACAAACTTAGTCTAACACAGACTAGCCACACTGCTTTGTGGAAGAGAGGGGCTGCAGGAAAACCAAAATTGTCCCAAACAGCTCAAAAAGCTAATGTGAAAATGGGCGTTCTTCTGACATTTTTAAATAAGCTTTGTCTTTTGATAATTCATACATGTATATAATGCATCTGGTTGTTGTCCCCCACTCCCTGACTTCTTCCCTCCCACTTATTCCCACTTATTCATTACTTTTGGTTTGGTTTTGCATCCCACAAAGCTTAACTAAGCCATCTGTGTGACTCTTGACTGAGAACTAAAGCCTGGTGGGCTAACAGTTCAGTAGCTACACAGCTAGATACTAGCCCTCCCCTTTCCCAAAATCTGTTAGTTGCTAAAAGGCCAGCAGTAAGTGGTAAGGTCTGGGGGCCTCTTTCCCATCCATATCTGACTGTTGAGTGGACCCAATGCCAGTAGGTACACTCAAATGCTGTGAGGCCATGATTGCCATGGCTGTGTTGTTCTTAGAAGATAGTATTTGGTAGCCCTTCTCCCTATCTTCCAGTTCTTACATTTATTCCGTTCCTCTTTTACAATGTTCCCTGAGAAAATGGTATAAATGTCTTGTTCAGGGCTAAGCCTCAACTTTAGCAATAGAATCTTGTGCAGCTATGAGTCTGTACATTTGCCTTTATTCACTGAAAGGAGGATGTTTTCTGATTAAGGCTTGAGGATAGCCTTTCTCTTTGGGTATGAACATATTTGATGATATGTCAGTTCAGGTAAACATGAGCATTAGGTATCCCTGTCTCCAAATCCAATGACTTCTTCAGTCATGACTTTTGGGCCAGATGTACAGTACTAGGCATGGATTCCCTCTTGTGGAACAGGCCTCAGACCCACTCAGTGAGTAATTGGTTTCCCCCATTATATGTGTGCCACTATTGCACCAATGGGTACATCTTGTCAAGCAGGCTGTTCATAGACATCACAGCTGAGTAAGATCATAGATGGCTTTACCCAAACTTCCCAGCCCCCCTAGCAACCTGTACCACCATCCAGCACTATGGAAGCTAGACCACAGGGCCAGGAAGCTTCCAGCCCAGGCCTAGCTTGATCTCACTAAATCTTGCATCCACATGGTATCTTCTGAAATGGGATCTTATCAACTAGTTCTGGTAGGTAACCAAGAGGAGTTGTGAGAGCCTGTATTATTTGGGGCCCTTTGAGGCCTCTCTGCCAACCCATATCTGGCACGGGAGGTTATTCTTTTAGATTCAATTAGTACGATAATAAAATGTATTTCATATTTGATTAGTCGCTTGGTCGGATGCTTGATATAAGAAATCTGGGAATATATTTTTAATCCAATTACACTGTCATTGTCCACAGTTTACATACTAGCAGTAAATTGTCATTGCTGAACATATTTTAAAAGCTTTGGAAAATGTGGGCTAAACAACCTGTGTCACTTAAGGAAGTTGGGCTCAACATTTGAGTACAAAGGAATGGTACAGAAACCAATCGTACTAATCTGATCTGAGCAACACCGGGAAAGCATCTCTGTGTACATGTATCCCAGACAGCATCTAAGAATCCCAGGAACTCTATTTTTTTCTCTCCATGTCTATTTCTTAGTAACTCAGTAGTCAGCCCAGAGGACCGAGAGTGTGAATAAAAGTGTGAATCAGGGAGCACAGGGCAAAACAGAGGCAAATCGTGGCTGAACTTTACAATTCTTCCTAGTGAAGGTCAGTGCAGAAGGAGAAAAGCAAATGAAAGGAGGGCACCTTGGAGAGCTGAGGGAAACGGACAGCACAGCCATGTGCTCAGGAGAGTTACCTACCGTCTTCTCACACTAGGGCAAGTTCCTCCTCGCAGCTCCACGTTCTCCTCTTATCCCTTAGTAGCAAATACCTGAATGTTCCATTTTCCCATCTGAAAACTTATCGCTATTACATTATGGAAAAATTAAAACTCATGCAAAAAGAAATGAGCCTTAGTGTTTATTACTGACTATCTGCCCTGGGTTCCCAGCAGGGCTCTAGAAGGCTGAGGTTATAAAATGCGGTACCATTCCCATTGGATGGGCCCAGGGTTAGGAAAGAAATGAGAGTTCTGGAGTGTGTTGGACATTTCATGTTTGGAAGCTCATTCAATGCCTTTCTCTATTTTCTTGTTTCCAACAAACTCAAACTGCTTATGAAAAATTAACAAATATTCTTAAACAACATGGTGAAGAGTGCAAGAGGAAAGGCCCTAATCCAGGGAAATAAAAAACAGGGGGGCACCTGCAGAAGGAGGGACAGACAGGCAGTGAGAGCCAAGGTGACATCTGGACACCAGGTGGGAATCAGATGACATCTGGGGTGGGGAATCAGCCTCAGAAGCTGCAGGACACCGTGACGCTGTTGTGTTGACTACTCAGGCTGTCTTCTGAGATGAAAGCTTTGGCTTAGGACTTCTCAGAAATTAAAAAAATTAAAAAGCCAGCTTTAGACTGGAGAGACAAACACCACGGCAGGTAAGGGCACTTGCTTCTCTTGTAGAAGACCTGAGTTAGGTTCCCAGCATCCATGTTGGCTGATTCACAACTGCCTGTAACTCCAACTCCAATGGATTCAGCACCCTCTTCCACCTCCTTGGGTACTGGCACATGGCAATGTATGCTCGGAAACACACATAAATAAAAATAAAATAAATCCTTTTTTAAAAAAGGCAAATAGCTTGGTAACTGGTGAT